GGAAGGAGGTGATACATAACTGCAGGGATGGGAAGGAGGTGATGCAGAGCTGCAGGGATGGGAAGGAGGTGATACATAACTGCAGGGATGGGAAGGAGATGATACATAACTGCAGGGAGGGGAAGGAGGTGATGCAGAGCTGCAGGGATGGGAAGGAGGTGATGCAGAGCTGCAGGGAGGGGAAGGAGGTGATGCAGAGCTGCAGGGATGGGAAGGAGGTGATGGTGGCTTTGGAAAGAGCACAAGCCCAGAGCTGGTGTTTTCTTGCTCTGTGACCTCAGGTGAGTCACTGAGTCTCAGCCTCCAATGAAGAGCAGTCACCTCCTGAGGCGAATGCCCTCATCTCTTTCTAGAATTTGTAAAATATGTGCTTTGAATCTTAGCATGTCAGAGACTTTTTTTTAAAAAAAAAATCTTCTGAAGTTACTTAGCCAAACTTCTTAATTATATAAATAAATGTCAAAAAAAAAAAAAAGACTAAGGTCTGGGACTCGTGGGGGGCTCCTCAGTTGGGTAAATTGAAGAGCTGGACAAGCACTTAGTCAGCTTGTGTGGCCATTATAGCTAATTCAGATGAATGAAAAGAAAGTGACTTTTAACACTCAGGTCCTCTGTGCTGTTAGCCACCTTCCAAGGGTTCAACAGCTCCATGTAGCAAGTAACATCCACAGTAGTAAAGCAACCCCAGAACTTTCCACCCTCTCAACTGCCTTGGACAGCCTTGGACAAGCGGTCAGAACTTGGGCTTTCAGGCAAAGATACATGGGGTCCTCTGTTTCTGGCTTTCTGTTTTCCTGTGTGGACATGAGGCCTGCAGAGAGACTGTGGAGTGCATGTGAGATCTGGCTTCCTGGGGACTGGTATGGAACTCACCTACTTCACAACTTAGGATTCTCATTCATTTGACTCACCCCTTAAAGAATGACAGAATGTGAGTTACCAGTCCCGCCTAGAACCCACGGAACTCCTGGTGCCACTCAAATGAGGAGGCTGCTGGCTTTTCAAGCTTGTTTTGGGGTAGTTCCACACGTCAGCTCCCTTCTGTGCAAATGAGTCATGATCGTGTGTCCTGAGCAAATGCATCCCCCTTGCTCATAAAAAGCCTTCAATTCAAAACCCAGTCCAGCTCATCTGGGTTCAACCATCACCAAGGGCTTTGGGCTAAACAGCCTGAAGGAACTCAGGAGAGAAAGCCACAGAAGCTTCTATATAAAGTGGCACAGTTGGAGACATAGCACAGGAAGCTGGGTCTAACTTGAGCCAAGTGCTGACCTCAGAACCATCAGGTCTCTTCCTCGGCAGCTGGAAGGTTCAGCTACAAGGACAAATGGCCCTACTCAGACATTCTGTATGGATACGGGGTGGGTGGCTTGGTGCACTATCTGTAACGTCTCATTGTATGTCAGTGGTCCCTAATTATTTATTAAAATCTACACACCTTCTCAGTAGAGAGGCGGTGCTATGCGCATAAATACGCCACACTGAATATCGTCTCAAGCCATTGATGGTTCTGAAAGTAAATGGGCCCCAGACCCAGTCACACAGGAAACAGAGAAGAGGTTCTCCCTTAAGGCTTCCAAAAAGGAACTTAGCTCTGCGCACACCTGGGTTTTAACAGACATCTGTCCTCAGAAACAGAAGCACATGAAGACATGTTGTTTTAAAGCCATCAAGTGACAACAGGTGTTGGTCTGTGGGGAACTTCCCAATGATTGGGCAGTGGGGGTGAGGGAGTTCCAGCAGTCCTGAAAATGGCAAACATGGCAGACAAGTTTTACCCTTTTACCCCTTGCTAAAAACATACATTCCAAAAGCTAGCCCCCAAGGTCTATCTATTCCCTTATTTGGCCACTGACACATTCCAGAGATAAAACATCAAAGTCCAACCATCAAAATTCATTATTTGGCTAATATGTCCAGTTAGGATTCCCAACTTATCCTCGAAGAGATGGTGCCCCACTTCCCCCTTAAGAACCAATTCCCACAGAAACACTCCTGTGCTTGCTCTCTTGCTTGCTTGCTGCTGCTGCTGCAGCCTTTGCAGCCTCCCCCAACCCCACTTGTTCCTCCAGGGTAATAAATCTCCTTTGTTGTTTGGGTATGTTCTGTCCTGATTCTGGGAGGCTGACCTCTCTTTCAGGGGGAGCAAGCATTGCTATCAAAAGTCAAGCTGTTGATTCCTGTAAGCAAAAGCATTGGTCACCCCAAGTTACAGGGATGGAGGGATAGCCAACTGCGGAGGATGCCCCTGCCCACAGGAGTTCCGCTTCTCATATGCTAGCGGTAAAAGACAAATGTCCCACCAGGCTTCAAGTCCCCCCAGCCTCCCAGGACCAGGCAGCAGCCTTGCTTCCCAAAGCAATCTGGTATCATATAAGCCTCAGAGAAGAAGGACCTCCTAAAAGTATCTTAATGGCATTACCAAAATTCTGTGCTCAGTAGGTAATGAACCACCGTTTTGAATTTCTACCCTCCGTTCCCCATACAGGGGGCCTCTCAGTGGATAACTCTTTTGTGGCTGAGGATCTGTCTGGCCCTGGGAACACAGGCCTTGTCCAGCCCTGTGTCAATGAAAGTATATGAAAACCCTTAGTCTTTGACACATTCTTTGCAGTAAGTCAGTGTAACGGTTTCTACTCTCCACCCACACAGATTGAGGGTGGAAAGACAAAATTGATCATGGTTGGAAGTCTGGGGGTGGCAGTGATGTTACTGAATGCATTGACCTAGGACACTTCGTAGTCACGTACAAACAGAGGATGTGGTTTCCGTTTGAATTCCCGGCTGCACAAAGAGTCTCATCCAAAGAGTGCCCTCCACCACGAGCACCCTAACATCATTCTTAACAGTGTTCTCTGACCCCAAGAGAAAACGCCGTCCTGAAGTAGTCTGTTTGCCCTGTGACCTTTCTGCTGTTTTCACCCCAACTCAGGGAACTCATTCCGAAAATCTGGGGGCTTTGATTTGTGCAATAACAACTTCCACTCAATCCTCTCTCAGTTACAGCCAGCCTGCTTTGTCCAGATTCCAAAGAGGCCAGGCACCTCTTCCCTCTGCACCTTCTAGGGTTGCTGGAGCACTATGGACTCATTTTAAAAATTATTTATATTCACTGATTGGTGGGGTCATACAGGAGAAGGTCAGAGGACAGCTAACATGAATTTCCACCCTGTGAGTCCCAGGGAGGGAGCTCGGGGCTGCAGATTTGGCAACAAATGCCTTTACCAGCTGAGTCATCTCACTAGCCGCTGGATTCTTTCAAGGCCCCGTCCTGGCTAGTTTATGGTCAACATGGTACAAATAAGAGTTGCCCCACAAGAAGAATACATCATTGAGAAAATGCCTCCCTAAAACTGGTCTATAAGCAAGTTTGTGGGGCGTTTTCTTAATTAAAAATTCATGTGGAGGCCCCAGGCCGTTGTGGGTAGCGCCACTCCTGGGCAGGTGACCCTGGCGTGTGTGAAAAAGCAGGCTAAGGAAGCCATGAGGAGCCGGTGACTCACACTCCTCCTTGGCCTCTGTTTCAGTTCCGTCTTCTGGTTCCTGACCGAGTTAGTTACCTTGGCTTCTCTTGATGATGGACCATGCATAACCTGGAGGCCAACTAAAGCCTTTCCTCCCCAGGTGTTTCATCACAGCAATAGAAACACCCTAAGTAAACGCCCTCGAGAGCAAGATGTCACAGTTTCCCATCTGCTGCCAGAAGAGGGCGTAGGTGAGATCGTGAGAGTGGAAGCACAACAGTTTTAAGTCCCAGGGAGCAGCGGGGACTCCACCATCCCTTGATACTATCGCTGCTACGGGCAAACCTAGCAGGTGAAAAACGAAGCAGATGACCTTAGTAGCACCATGCTGGGTGCCTGGGGACAGCCCCAAGACTGGGCCACACTGAGCTGGACCATTCCAAACTCCTGTCCTGCTATGCCAAATTCAAAGTGAGCTCAAATCCCCGAGCGGGAGCTTCGGATGCTTGTCGACACATTTAGAGCGGCTGATAACTGCTTTTCGGAATTCCTACTCTGCTTTTAAAAAGGGAAGCAGAAGTATTACAGCCGCGAGTGAACAGTTTCCTACGGCTCTGCCCTCTGGCCGGCTGTCGCTCCGCCAAGTTTGCGCAATGCCCTCCTCACCCAGCACTGAGCGTGGCAGACTGGGCCACAGCGGAGCTTAGCCGAGTCAGGCACAATAACCACACGCGCCATCATGCTGGAATCCCCAAGCACACAGAGAAGCCAAGTTACAGACTGACCTAGCGCCATCTGCAACTCAGGGCGGGAGCAGCGAGGCCACAGACCCTCCTTTCAGCCTGAATGGGAACTGCAGTCCGGCCTCCCCGCCAGCCCCCAGCAGAGGGCTTTGCATTTCGCGCGGCATTCTGGTTCTGAAGCCCTAAGGGAGACAGTGGAGACCTATAGGCCTGCTCAGCACAGAGAGGAACCGATACTCTCGGCTTCCCAGAATAACACAGCTGCCTGGGGACAGACTCCAGAGGAGACAGATCTGCCAACACCTAACCCTGGGCTCCTGCCCAGCACTTGCTCCCTTCCTTCTGAAGAAGGCTGTGCATACTGTGAGCATGATCACTGCACCGACTTGCGGAGCGCACTACAGCTGGCGCCTTTGGTAGCTCAGATTGTTACAACTCCCCTGAAGGTAGAGTTGACTCTATGTTACAGAAGGGGAAAGTGAGGCAGCTTGCCCCATTCCCACAACTACTAAGACATATGTAGAAGAGGAATTCAAACAAACAAAAAAAGAAAGGAAGGAAGGAAAGAAGGAAGGAAGGAAGGAAGAAAAGAAAGGGAAGAAAAAAAAGAAAGACCTCAACAAATTAAAATTAGAACTACCATTGATTAATCTACACCTCTTCTTGGTTTATGCCCAGAGGAAGCTAAATCAAACCTGGCACCAAGACACTTTCCCATCATGTTTACCGGAACCCTATTCACAATATTTGAGTTACAGAATCAGTCCAAATACCCACCACCAGATAAATAGATGCTAAAAGGAAACAGGGTATGTGTACACAATGGAGCATAAGTTATATAAAAAAAATGATTGTGCCATTTGCAGGAAAGCAGACGGAACTTGAGATTCATCTTCCTAAGAATTATAAGCCAGACTCAGAAAGTGAAAGGTGGCATCTATATGGAATCAAGATTTCTGAATATGCGTACTATGTAAGGCAGAGAAATGGAAAGGAGCTGTTGTTGAGGAGGAAGGGTCCGGTGGAAGGAGAGCAGGAGAGACGCAAGGGAGTCGTGGAAAGCAACTGTGGGCAAAGCATGCGACATGCATGTGTGACTATGTCATCAGGAAACCTGAAACCTCATCCATTGTGCCCAAAACTCTTTGGACCAAACCATGGGGAGGAAAATGGTTCCCTGGCCTCCTGAGATCAAAGTCCCAGGCCCCAGCACCCAACAGCAGGATGAAGGAAAGCAAGGACACTACCTCATGGCCACATTGCTGCCATCGATGACTATGGGCCGCAGGGAGCTGCCTGGGTCTCCACCAGCTTCTTCCAGTCCTGGCCCCAGGCCCTGTGGGGCAGAGTCCCGGGTCCCACAGCACCCCCGGGGCATCAGCACTACTCCGGTGCTGTTGACTGGATCTTCCTGGGCCCTTGGACGGCTACCGGTCTGGATCAACTCCTGCAGTATGTCGTTGACCAATGCACTGTCACCCAGCTTGCTCAGCACCCTGACCACGTCGTCCTGGCTGTAACCCAGTTTCTGGAAAAACTCCATCTTGTTCCGACGCTCCATAACCGTTGCCTGGCACGGCTCCTGCCCTGGGCTTCCTCCTGGCAGAACTGCACAGGCATGAGCTAAAAAGAAGAAGGCAGCAGTCAGGTGTTTGCTAAGCAGCCTGGCAGCCGGGCCACTGGGTGAGGAAGGCATGCTGTGTGTGTGCTCCTCCCTCCCGGTGTTATCTGTCAGGAAATCACGCCTAGCCTGGTCCCCTGGAGGATTTTCAGTTGTTTGGTGTGGCTGGCAGGCCACAAATGCAATCATGCCTCTTTTACCAGTGCATTCTCTGAGCCCTTTGCTCCTGAGTGTCTGTACAGGGAACACTAGCCAGGGCCCAAGGTGGCAGGGGATGAGTAAGGCACCAAGTCAAGGAAATCTTTTTAGAGGCTCTGTTAGAAGCGAAACGGTATCTACCCAGACTTCTGTACAGAAGTGCTTAGCACCAGTACCTCAGAGTGTTACTGTATTTAGAGACAGGGCCTTTCAAATCAGGTCCTTGGGGGCACACCTTCACCCTGCAATAACCAGCTGTTCCACAAGAAGAGGTGAGGCACTTGAGACCAAATACACACAGATGTGTCACCTTGGGGCTGTGAAGGGACCGCTTAGATAGTAAGGCCTGGGAAGGAACCAACGTCGTTGACTCTTTGATCCTGAACACGCAGCCGCCAGAACCCAGTGACTTTCGATTGTGCCAGCCTTCATCTGCCAAGACCGTTGGAGCAATCCTGGCAGGCAGCAGAGGCAGCAGGTCCATCCAGGAAAGAACCCTCCCAGGAGAGGGCCCCTCCCGGAAAGGCAGCGTTACCCAGGAATTCAATTCTGCACTCTGGCTCAGTTCATATTCCGACCACCCTGGACCTTGAAAAGAAGAGGTCCTAACCCAAATTTGACTCTTCCTGTGGGGGCACCCAGCGTAGCCCCCCTGTTTGGGGGATGACAAGGAAGGGAGTATGCTTGACAGTTATTTTCAAAAGGGGAAAATGGGAATATTCAGGACACACTGGGTCTCTGTGCTACTCACAAATAAAGCTTGACACCCTTCAAAAGTGTCTTAAAATGCAGAAATACACTTGAAGACATAGCTATTGTGAAATATTCAAACAACGCAGAAGTAGAAGGACGATACAATACATGGCCCACACCCCACTCTCCCAAGCCCCACTCCATCCCCTTTCCCCCCTCCCCCCACTCTCCTGGTGCCTCTAGTGCTGATGGCTGCCAGTATCTCTCCAGAACTTTCTCTGTACACCTATTAGCGTATTAACGAAGGATTGTTTCTGATTTATGTTTTCATATACGATGCCATGTTATACGTATTGCCAGTCAGCAGCTGGCTTTTCTCCTTTAAAACACATCTTAAGAGCCAGGCGGTGGTGGCACAAGCCTTTAATCCCAGCACTCGGGAGGCAGAGGCAGGCGATCTCTGTGAGTTCGAGGCCAGCCTGGTCTACAAGAGCTAGTTCCAGGACAGGCTCCATAGCTACAGAGAAACTCTGTCTCGAAAAACAAAAACAACAACAAAAAGAAAACAAACAAACAAACAAAAACCACATCTCAGGTAAATTTTCCAGCCAGCTTCGGGGACCTGCCTGCTGTATACCCCGCCCCCAGCATCAAATTTGATGGTGAATAAATAAATGAATGGATGGATGGATGGATGGGTGAACGAATAGTGTTCCTTAGGGCTAACCATATGCCAAATGATAGAAATTTCATTCTCTTCTATTTTTTCACTGTTACAGCTCCTGCTCGCTGGAGATTCCCGCACATCCTCCATCCCTCTTCCCAATGCTGTGGACTCTTCACCTTCTGATTCCATTCTCCTGTAGGAATCCCTTCTAGCATTTGTGTGTCCAGGCTAGCCTCCCGGCCTGACTCCACACACTTCTGCAGACCTCTCCAGAGAGCTAACAAGGCCAGAGCCTGCCAGGTGCTGAGCGTTCCAAATCCAGCCTTCCAGACAGCGCGGCCTCTGCTGCTGCCCCGACATGCTCACCGCCCACTCTGCCTCTGCCCAAGCTCATCTGGCTTGGACACAGCACTGCGTTTTGAACACGAATCTGACCATATTTCCCCTGCTTTAAAGAATGCTCTACCGCAGCCCCTGGTGACTCTAGAAGAAAACCCCAAATTCCTGGGCATGCGCAAGAGCTGTGTGACCCTGTGGCTGTGAGCTTGACCACCCCACCACCCACCAGTGCCTCACCTAGTCCTTAGAGTGAAATGAATGTCCTCCTCATATCCAAACGCTCCAGGATGCTCTCACACACACGCTTGTCTTTTGGGGGGTTGTGAGCTTTAAATTTCAATTCGCACGCCACTCAGAGGGATCCTTCTGGACTCTCCAGACCTAAGAGAGCTCAGTCATGCCACCTCCCATGTGGGATCAGCGCACGTGAGTTATCACGAATCTTTCTCAAGAGACCTGATGTTCTGACCTGTTCGCCTCGGGGTCCCACCCCTTAGTATGGTAGAGCTGAGGAGCTCCATAGATATTTTTTATATGGACCCTGGAGTTTTCCTCTTTTCCCACATTTTCCCTTGAGTTTCAAATCTCGAAGAGCAGCATCCTTTAGAGACCCCAAAAAAGACATCCCATTATCCCCCTTGACTCCACCCTTCCACGTCTGGCGAGTTCTGTCTCCTGGACGTTTTGCACACCCACCCTGCCCTCCACACTCACCCTGACATTGTCCCACCCTCTCACTTCTCACTGGAACAAACTTGCTGGTTGCCTTCTTCACACTGGCTCCACAGAAACAAAAAACACTGCCCCATTCCCCACTAACTCATCATCTGCTCTGGAAAACAGACCTAAAAAATCTAAGTAATAAGTCATAAATCCAAAATATGCACTACTGGTTGTTTTAGAGTTTGCCTTTTTGTTCTTTTTTTTAAAAAAAAAAGTTTATGTGTGCGGTGAGTATGTGTGTGTGCGTGCATGCACGCACATGTGTGTGCACACACATGCTGGTATTTGTTTTGTGTGCCAGAGTGCTCATGTGGAGGTCAGAGGACAACTTGTCAGATCCTGCCTGTTCTCACCTTCCATCAGCTGGGTCTGGGGATGGAACTCGGGTCGCTGGGCTTCACAGCAAGCGCCCTCACTGGCTGAGCCATCTCACTAGCCCAGAACAATTGCTTTGATTAGGGGGGGAAAATGTGCTTTTGGGAGCCGGAAAAATGGCTCAACAGTTAAAAGCACTTGCTGTTTTTAACAAAGGACCTGAGTCGGGTTCCCAGCAGTCATGAGTGGCTCACAACCATCTGGAACTCCAGTTCCAGGCAATCCTGCCTTCTTCAGGCCTCCAAAGACACCAGGCACACACTCAGTGTACAGACAGACATGCAGGCAAAACACTCAGACACACGCAGTAAGTAAATCTAGAACAATATTTTAAAGAAAGAGAAAGAAAAGTGTGCTCTCAAAGCCCATGTGGGGAATGACTTATCTCCTTTCAGAGGATATGGAGGGGTTGTCTGGGCTCCTCTGGTAAAGGCACCTGCCCCCGAGTCCAGTGAACTGAGTTCGAGTCCCTGGGAGAATCAACTCATGGGACTTGTCGATGCACAGTTGTGAAGTAAACATAAAACTGGCGCAGAGAAGTCCTCAGAGGACCGTGAGACCCCGAGAGGACACCAAGGTCTCGGGATGCAGTTTGCCCCCCAATCCCCCAGTGACACTAGTGCCCAGTCACACTCCAAGACGCCATAGCTGAGGACTTTGATAGACCTTTGTTTTTTTTAAGAGACAGTCTAAGGTCTAAGTTGAAGTTTTGCTCTTTTCTCCAAACTCCACATCCCTCCATCCTGCACAAATTAAAGGACAAAACTCATCCACATGAGAGTCAGGGCCTCACGGTCAGCCCTGTTCCACCTCCCGTCTCTTAACTGTAAGTCTCTGGTCCAGCCTCACCTTCTCTGTGCGTCTAGTGAGCAATCCTTTCCTCACAGAACCTTTGGCCTCTAGTGCAAGGGTCCAACTCTGGACCAAATTTCACATAAAAAGAGGACACTCACAAATCTGATGGGTCACATCACACTGTGAGGCGAGGGGTGTCACTTACGAACCACGAGACTCCCCCCGTACCTGGGACATCCGTTCCCTCCATAGGCTAAGTCTACTATTACATTTTCCAGAAGCTTCCAAAATTTTGATGTTCCGTGAGCCCTCCACCCCTCGCTGCCCGTGCACACACCTCTGTGCTTATTTCAGAGAGCGGGGAAGAACAGACAGCAGCAGAAATAACAACATACATGTCCCTACTTCTGCGGCTTTTCAAGGTTTCCGTATCATTTTTATGAACTCTTAACTAAACTTCCTGTTTCTCTTGGTGGGAAAACAGTCTATAAATGTGCACTTGCTCCTTTTGGCACTGAGGAAACGGAGGGTATATAGCTAGTACATGGCGGAGCGTGACAATCAGCGCGTTCCAAAAATAACTTATTATTTTGAGTCATTTGCTCAGCACAGGGGCAGCGTCTTGCCATTGCAGAAATGGAGACATTAAAGTTACAACCGAGTGGCTTCCCCTTCAGTCTCAAAGGAACAACTCTGTGAAGAGGTCCGAGTTTCCACCTGCTGCCCCGTGGGACTAAAGCAAGAGCATCTAAAATGAGAAGACTTGTGTCTGATGGCGGTGGGGGGAGTAAGCAGGCAGCCGGCCGTATGAGGGCCTGCCCTGCGATTGCTTCTTTCCGTGGGGTAGCGTGTGATCGCCCTGAGAACCTTTGCTGTGGACACTCTCAGAAGGCGCGGGTGCCACCAGACAGCTGCTTTTATACAAAACTCACAGAATTCACCTACTTCGGAAAATAATCCCCTTGGGGCCTTAACAGTAACTTTCGCTCCTTTTAAAACAAATGTCTTCTAAATAAAGGTAGGGGCCTGCCCCCCAGGAACTCCCTCCCCGACACCCCAATGAGATGCTCTTCACGCGCTAACACCCGGCCGCTTGAGTGTGACCTCGCTATTTTTAAAACCTGAGAGTCCAAACCTCAGTTTTCTTCCTCAATCTTGACTGGAAGTCACAAACAACCCAGAAGATTAGCAACGAAATTGTCTAATTTCCTC